GTGGGGTGAGGGGGGGGGGCTAAAATGAAGGCACACATCCCTGCTTTCCCACGTGGTGTTCGTTTAGCACACCTGAAGAAAGGAGAAGAGAGGAGTCAGTGAATTTTTTTTTTTTGGTTCCAACGTGATTTGAAAGCAAGCCACAATACTATTGTAGAAACACAATTAGCATTAGCTAACTCGCTCAACAGACCCAAACCTCTAATTTTAGTCCGCATTTGCATGTACCTCACAGTACACCGTTTGACAAAAAGTGTTTGCGTTAGGTGGTCGGGGGTGGGCCGTGACGCCACAACAAGCTGCGCGCCGCTAGCTTCCATCCACAAATAGCATTCGCTATCAAGTTTGCCGTCGTGTCTTTATTTCCCACGAGTCTCCAAAGTGAATGTCTCCCTCTGACCACTAGGGGGTCGGAGGTACTGGAGTTGTGGTGTCTTTGTTGATTTAATAATTGCATATGTGCGCTGGAATTAAAGCAACGTGGCCAATATCCACCGCCACGGTGCACTTTAGCATCAATAATGCAGCACGTGTCACCACAATGGATGTGGAGCGCATCAATAAGCAACGAGGCCCCGCTGTTTTTCCCGCGACTTAAACAGACGTCCACAATTAAGCTGCGGCGCGCTTTCAACGGAAAGGGCCGGCGCGTCGGCGAGGATTTAGAGGCGCGCAACCGCCGCCGCTTGGAAGCACTCAAGGTGAAACCACGCCGCAATTTCTCTCCCTGGCCAACGCGATTCCATCTGCTGCGGGCGTAATGAGGAACCAGTGCGTCTTTCGCGTCCGATTAGGCTTCTGCTTTGCCTTCAAATGGCAGAGGACAGATCACCTCGCACCCCCACCCCCACCCCCCACCCGACTATGGATCTTAGGCTAAGTGAGCAGAGAAAAACGGGGAAAGACACCCAATAACGCGTCATTTGTCCACCGCGGTACAAAAATTCAAGTTCCGACCGTATGAGGGATGAGCTGCGAACGCCGTGGCAAACAAAGATTCGCCTTGACAACATTCAGCCGCCAACAGCTGACGCGCCCATCTCGCAATGCGGTTGCGAGGGTCTCACCTTCTGGTCCGGCAATAGCGGGTTGGTCTGCAGCGAGCTCAAATGGCCGTTGATGAGCGCCGTGGGTCGGTCGTGCTCGCAGAACAGGCTGCCGTTGACGTAGTGGAAGCGGTCGCCCGGGACCAGGCGGTTCCGGCAGGTGGAGGCCTGGAGACCGCGGCAAACGCAAAAAAAAAAAAAAAAAAAAAAAAAGGCGGGGGGGTCTTGACATCTTGGAAGATAAAATAAAAAACAAAAAACATGGAACATGGCCACCTGCGACTAACGACCTTGAATTGGGGAGCCGCGCTAATGAGGCTCATGAGGGGTTTCCGACTAAACGGGTCACCTTCACGCACCGGTTTTGACTTCCACTGCAACCCCAACTCGCTGGACTATTAATAGATGACATCATCGGCACAGACACATCCGAGCCTTTTGTTACAAGGCCCGTTAATGGTCCGGCTGACGAAAACTCTGTCTGAGCCCGTAACATAGCAGCTCCTTCGTGATTTTTCTGTTAAATATAAAAAAAAAAAAAAAAAATTGGGCTGAAATAGATTTACAATGTATAAGCGCGTTCGGATGAGTGTCAGTTTGATGATGTAATAAATAAATAATTGTCAAATACTTTTGTTTAAAACGTGCGTCGAAAGCATCGGGGAGGCGTACTTTAAGGGCGAACCTCCAGACTAAATAAATACGGGCGTTACATCACCTTTGGAGGAAACTTGATTGAGGTCAAGTTGTTTTGCTATTTATTTTTCTATGTATATGTTATTCACAAAGAAATCAATGAACCAATCAATTAAAAATCAAAAAAAAAAAAAAAATGTCATCTAATCATAATCATTTTTGCAGATGCCGCTCGCCATTTGTTGGTGGGAAACGCCCACTCGCTGACGTCAGCGTGTGAAGATGGCGGCCATCTTGGGCAAGAGTTTACCTTGAGATGGTAGACGTTGCCCTGCGCCCGCATGACCAGTTCGCTGGCGGGGATGGACTGTCCGCATGCGCTGCAAGCGCCGCTGTTGCCGAATAATCTGACGGCAAAGAAGAGAGAAGAGGTGGGTGGGGGGAGGGGGGGGGTTAATCCGACTGGGAGCAGTGACGTCGGGATGCAGGCATCGGGACTGTCAAAGGTGTTCTATTAATAACAAAAAACCAAAACAACGGTCTTACAAAAGAAAAAAAAAAAAAAGCAGATGTTTCTGCAAGCGAATATGTACCACAAAAGAATCCTCCCAAGCCCATCTAGGCAGCTCCCATGATATGGACTGGCAAATGACATCCACAGTCATTTTTAACCAAGTTAAAAATCAGACAGAGCATCCACAACCCGACGAGGCAGCGACACCGGACTGATCGGCAGTATCGCAGTAACACGCACAAAGGAAATGTGTTCTTCCTATGAGCCGATACAGGATTGGAACATGAGTATCTGCAGCCCATCTAGGCGACAGTGGCCAGGAGATGCTCAAAGACGCTCCGTCACGACTGCACTTCCATTTCTCATCATCGCGACACGAACACCAAATGTAACAAGGCGTCGCAAACAGGAGTGTCCACAGCCCGTCTAGGCGGTAGCAGGCACTACGAATGCCAAAGTTGCTCCGTCACCATCTCGCTTCTCCTAAAAAGCCGCCATTTTTCATCATCACGGCACGGCCGCTAAATGTGTCGTTCCCACGAGCTCATAACGAGTTGCAGCGGGAACGTCTGCAGCCCGTCCAGGCGGTTGCAGACATTCGGAGCACCTCGAGCGCTCCGTCACCGCTGTGTTTCCATTAGAAAGCTGCAGCTAGTGGGCTTGATATATCATGTTCGCGGGTTAACCTTTTCAATCACGGTGTCAACACTTTAGATTTGCTTCTACTCATCTCTTCCGCCGACCCCTCGATAATGAAATGCTTGCTGCGGCTTCCTTTCTATCGTCCTTCTGAGTCCACAATTTAGATTACTTCATCTCAGCGAGCAGCAAACTGAATGAAATTTCGATTTGAGCAGAAAGTAATTTACTGGGATCTGGAGCCATTTGTCATCATATCTCAGCGGGTGTTTGCTCGATCACGCCACTTTTCCTAAGCAATCAAATAAGAGCGCGGCATCTGACATGCTTCGACGGGAAGGGCGGGGAAAAAAAAAGAAAAAGGGGCTGAGGTGGGAGGAAGGGAGGACGGAGAGGATCAGATCAAGTTGTTTGGCCAAACACCACAAAAAAAATAAAACAACTTTTTATTCCTCCCCAACTCGGACATCTCGAAGGGCTTTTTTACGTGAAAGTAATGAGAGTGAAATCGAGGTTCTGTAACCCGTCCAAACAGTGGGGGGAAGAAAGCGGGGACGGCTGCTGCTTTCAATAAGACAGCAGCAAATTTCGTCTCAGAGTGATTTGGAAAGGCTCCATCAAAAGTCAATTCCACAAACTAATTAACTGGAGGCTGATGGGGACAACGGTGCCAACTCGGCGCTTTCACCGGGACCGACGTGACGCAAACGTGTCGGGCCTGGCGGCCCCACCGCAACAACTCGGGTCCCTTTGTGCCACTCGCGTTCAAAGAAAAAAAAAACACCGGACGCCGCCGTCGCTTAAGACACGAAGAGAGTTTGGACACGCGGAGCCGTTCAAGGGGAAGTCGAGGCAAAAACCGCCACTCGCCATCGGCGAGGCCTCGGGACTCGAGTTCGGTCATGCGATCCTCAAAAGGGGGGGGGCCCTCGGACACTCTGACGCCCTTTCCGGTTTTGACGTTGGCTTGAATGTGCACGTTTTCATAGCGGAGTTTTGCCTCGCACGTTCGGCTTGACTGCGAAAGTTGTTTTGGCTTTGAGGCAGTTGCAGATTGCCGCCCCCCCGGGATTTGAGGCTTTATCGAAGCGACCCCCCCCCATCCCCCCCTCCATCATTTGTGCTTTTCACCTGAGTTCTGGTTTGGGTGCAGATTTGATGTCCACAGTTTGAACTTTGATGCGGAGTCATTTTCTCACCATTTTGGCTTTAAGGCTTGTTTTCGCAACTTTTGCTTTAATGCAGATTGTTTTGCCTCCCCCCTCAGTTTTAGCTTTCACGTGGATTTTTTTTTTTTTTTTTTTTAATTAAGAGTGTGTTTATGGAGACAGTTTTGTGTATACCTTGGCGTGTTTTTTTTTTTTCTCGACTCATTTTGGACTCCAAAGCAAATGACTTTGAAAGTTTTGCCTCCAGAGCAGGTTTTTCGCCTCGCACTTTTGCTTGAACGCCGATTTCTTTTTGCTGGCACAGTTTTGGCTTAACAGACATCGCACGTTGTTGGTCCTCTCTACGTCGAGGAGAAAGGACCTGCGCTAGCTTTCTCTCGCACAAATCTCCCAATATTACATATTGAATATTTGATGTATTTGGCTTCCAATGACACGATAAATTGCAGCCACGTCAGATTTTTTTTTTTTTATTAATCCGTATCGGATCGAGGCCCAACTTGGATCCGATTTGGATGAACAGCATTTCTGCCTCCCCCGCGCTGTTCTCCCCATCTTTTCGCTCTTAATGGCACTTATTGACCCCCCCCCCCCCTCCGCCCCAAAAGCGTTGCAGCCCGAATGGTAAGCGGCCATGACCAAGTTCCGTGTAAATCCAGCCCAAGAGTCTTGTGTGCACAATTAAGCGCTCATCCATTTTTGAAGTCGGGCTCTAATGGGCTCGAGTGCCATTGAACTCCGGCGCCCGGATGACACGCCAACGCCGGTACGCCGTAATTAACGTCGAGGGACCCTTTAATCGTGCCGACGCAACCGTTTGCCCCCCCACGAAAACATGAGCTTGACTGATGTCAGGCTTAAATTAAAAAAAAGAAGAAGAAAACACGGCGAGAGCGGCCTTGTCAACAGCGCGGCTGTCAGGTAAACGCCGAGCTCATTCACTGCTGCCTTTGACTGGGGGGAAATTTTACACTCGCGTTGACACACACACACACACACACACACACGGAGTCCATTAAAAAGGCTTGTGTGCATCAGCGGCCAAAGCACCTTAAAAGCATGAGGCCATATTGAAACCGAAGCGCGGCTTTGCATAAT